TTCTCCAAGGAAGACATACGGATGGCAAAAAAACACATGAAAAGATGCTCAACATCACTCATTATCAGAGAAATGCAAATCAAAACCACAATGAGGTACCATTACACACCAGTCAGGATGGCTGCTATCCAAAAGTCTACAAGCAATAAATGCTGGAGAGGGTGTGGAGAAAAGGGAACCCTCTTACACTGTTGGTGGGAATGCAAATTAGTACAGCCACTATGGAAAACAGTGTGGAGATTTCTTAAAAAGCTGGAAATAGAACTGCCATATGACCCAGCAATCCCACTTCTGGGCATACACACCGAGGAAGCCAGATCTGAAAGAGACACGTGCACCCCAATGTTCATCGCAGCACTGTTTATAATAGCCAGGACATGGAAGCAACCTAGATGCCCATCAGCAGACCAATGGATGAGGAAGCTGTGGTACATATACACCATGGAATATTACTCAGCCATTAAAAAGAATTCATTTGAATCAGTTCTAATGAGATGGATGAAACTGGAGCCCATTATACAGAGCGAAGTAAGCCAGAAAGATAAAGACCATTACAGTATACTAACACATATATATGGAATTTAGAAAGATGGTAACGATAACCCTATATGCAAAATAGAAAAAGAGACTCCGATGTATAGAATAGACTTGTGGACTCTGGGAGAAGGCGAGGGTGGGATGTTTCAAGAGAACAGCATCGAAACACATATATTATCTAGGGTGAAACAGATCACCAGCCCAGGTTGGGTGCATGTGACAAGTGCTCGGGCCTGGTGCACTGGGAAGACCCAGAGGGATCGGGTGGAGAGGGAGGTGGGAGGGGGGACCGGGATGGGGAATACATGTAAATCCATGGCTAATTCATTTCAATGTATGACAAAAACCACTGCAATGATGTAAAGTAATTAGCCTCCAACTAATAAATATAAATGAAAAAAAAAAAAAAACTGGCAAAAGATCTAAACAGACATTTCACCAAAGAAGATATACAAATGGCCAACAGTTCAATGGCATTAACTTGTAAATCATTACAAGTTAATTACAATTAACATTAACTTGTAAATCAACCTTCACATCCATTAGGAAGGCTATTATCAAAAAGATTGACAATAACAAGCATTAGCAAGGTCATGCAGAAATTGGAACCGTCAGACACTGCTAGTGGGAATGTAAATTGCTGAGCCACTTTGAAAAGGAGTCTGGCGGTTCCTCAAAAGGATAAATATAGTTACCATATGACCCAGCAATTCCACTCCTGGGTATATACCAGAGATCTGAAAACTTAAGTCCACATAAACACTTGTACACAAAAGTTTGTATCAGCATTATTCAAAATAGCCAAAAAGTGGGAACATCTCAAATATCCACCAACTGATGCGCAAACTGCGGCATATCAATACAATGGACTATTATTCAGTCATAGAAAGAAATGAAATAGTGACACACACTACAAGATGGAAGAACGTAGAAGACACTGTGCTGAATGAAGGCAGCCAGACACAAAAGCCATGTATGACTCCATCAGTGTGAAATATGCAGGACAGGCAAATCCATTAGGGACAGAAGGGAGATCAGTGGCTGCTTACGGGTGGGAAAGGGACAAATGGGAAGGAACTGCTTAATGGGTAGGGGGTGTCCCTTGGGGTGGATGAAAACATTCTAGAATTAGAGGTGACCACTGCACAACCATATGAAAATACTACAAAATACTGAATTGTGAAGACTGACTTCCACGTTTTACTTAAAATCTTTTTCCATGGTTTGACACTTTCCTTTTCTCCCTATCTTCCCCTGCCCATAATTTTTTACAAATATTTCAACATAAAGAAGAGTTAAAAGGACAGTTCACCAAACACCCACAAACACACAACTGACATTCTGCAATTAACACTTCAGTTTACCATGTATCCATCCATTTATCTACCCAATTATCCATCTACATACTTTTGGATATGTTTCAAAGGTGCAGATATCAGTGTCCTTGGTCTCTAAACATTCAGACCCTTTCTCCCTGTGAAGTGAAGTGAAGTGAAGTGAAGTCGCTCAGTCGTGTCCGACTCTCTGTGACCCCATGGACTGTAGCCCACCAGGCTCCTCCGTCTGTGGGGTTTTCCAGGCGAGAGCACTGGAGTGGTTGCCATTGCCTTCTCCATCTCTCCCTGTATTTCAAACATTTTGTTGTTGTTCAGTCACTATGTCAAGTCTGACTCTGCGACCCCATGGCCTGCAGCACTTCAGGTTTCCCTGACCTTCACTGTCTCCTGGAGTTAACGCACTCATGTCCATTGAGTCAGTGATGCCATCCAACCATCTCATCCTCTGTTGCCCCCTTCTCCTGCTGCCTTCAATCTTTCCCAACATCAGGGTCTTTTCCAGTGAGTCAGCTTTACACATCAGGCGGCCAAAGTATTGGAGCTTCAGCTTCAGCATCAGTCCTTCCAATGAAAATTCAGGGTTGATTCAAGCTTTTTAGGACTTTTAAAAAATTTCTGAGTTCAGCTCCAACAATTACAAAAGTGAGTGTACAGAGTAGTGAACCACCCCCTTGGACCCGCTGACTTCCACAGCATGGTTACCTCAGTGGACAGGCTGGACTAGATCCTTCTGATTCCTCACTGGCAGTTCCTTCCCTCACTCACGCATTCAGCATCTATTCAGTGTTACTGTGTGTGAGTCACAATGCCAGAGTGTGATGCTAGAGTGTGCCCACAGGTGCCTACTTTCTTTGTCTTCTGAACATTTTCCCGAGTGTGGCTGGGAGGAGGGAGGCAGAATTCCCTGACAGTCCCACGGTTAGGGCTCTGCACTCTCACTGCCAAGGGTCCAGGTTCTACCGTTGGTTGGGGGACTAAGATCCCACAAACCATGCAGCATGGCCAAAAAGAAGAAAAGGAAATTCTGTGTAGACATGTTATCAGTGATGGTGTCATCACTGTTGGTCATGTGAGTATCTTTTCAGCTACCTGACTCTTCTGTTCTTGGAGATTTAGGTGATTTCCACTTTTAAAAAACCTGAAAAAGCTAGTTGCTGCCTCCCTGACAGAGCCCTTTCTGGAGAGAAGCTTCCCTCACTCAGAGCACAGGCTGAAAGAGTTGGCCTAGGTCAGGGATCTATAAAGTCACAATCAAAATCAGGATCCTGGGCTACTGGCTAAGCTAGCCTTGGGCCGAGCTGAGAGGTTACGAAGCCTGAGGCTACCATCCTGATGGTCACAAGCCAGGAGACAAGCAGTGAAGAAAGCTGGTCAGGTAAGAAAGGATGATGAAGCCAATGGACAGAGAAAATGATGAGAACACACTGAGTCCTCCTCTGCCCAGGCCACTTCTGGCACTACTATGCCTCTCTCCAGCTCTGAAAATGGCAGATTTCCTCTCGTTCTTTAGGTCTTGATTTCAATGGCACCTTCTTAGCCTCTCCCTGACCATCCTAAACTGGGAGCCTCCCCCTTCAATTCTCCACCTTGAAATTGATTTTTTTCCTATTTTCTTGCTATGCCCCTGCTATTCTGTGCATTCACTGAGAGAAAGATGTCAGTCGCTCAGTTGTGTCTGACTCTTTGCGACACCATGGGCTGTAGCCCGCCAGGTTCCTCCATCTGTGGGACTTTCCAGGTAAGAATACTGGAGTGGGTTGCCATTTCCTTCTCCAGTGGATCTTCCTGATCCACAGTGTGAACCTGGGTCTCCTGCATTGCAGGCAGATTCTTAACCGTTTGAGCAACCAGTGCATTCACTGAAGGCAGGGACTATGGCTGTTTTGGTCTCAAATGTAATCCTGGAGCACAGCCCTTGACAGACAGTTGTGAATAAATACTAACAAATGAATGAAGGAGAAGCTCCCCAACACTTCTACTTTGTGTGAGGACTTAGTTATACTCCCTGCACTCCTGCAGATTCCTCAATCTCCTCATGAGCCCTCTTTGTACCCAGGCAGGCCTCATCCCGACTCCCCAAAGGGGCCTTTCTAGGCATGTTTTGGGCTTCTCTGGGGGCTCAGACACTAGAGAATCTGCCTGCAATGCAGGAGATCCGGATTTGATCCTGGGTCAGGAAAATCCCCTGGAAAAGGGTATTGCAACTCACTCCAGTGTTCTTATCTGGAGAACTCCATGGACAGAGGAACCTAGCAGGCTACAGTCCATGGGTTCGCAAAGAGTCAGACACAACTGAACAACTAATACTTGTCAGGCGCCCTTTACAGTCCTCTTTCTGGGCTCCAAAATACTTTCCAGTGGCACAGAAACGCCTGCTCGCCTGACCTAAATCCTAGAATCATCCCCTTAAACAGCTACTTGGCTGACACAAGGACCACCCAGCCACCCCAAGTTCAGCGTCTCAATGACTCAAGACAGCCAACTTTTCATTCTCTTCCTCTTTAGAGAAAGGACACAGGGATGGGCCCAGCATGCCCCAGAACCCCTGATTCTCTTGTTTTTTTTCCCCGACTCTGTTTACTATGTGTCTCATAATTCATTAACAGCAGTATTGGAATTATGGCCCTAACACTGAAAGGAAAACCAATCCAACTGGATATTTTTCATCTAATGAGAACATATAAATAGGCATAAAAAACAAATAAATTCTGAATACACTTCTGCTGGCTTCCAGCAGGGTGGGAGCAAAACCCAGCAGCAAACTGGTCTCTCAAGCCATATTTTCCACTTTGGCCAATGCCAAGCATAGGCTAAGCAAAACAGCTGGCAAGAGGTGATGGAGCCACAGGCTCCAGGGAAGTCATCTCTTGGCAGTTCCCGCCGAGGCACCGGGTGCAGCCAGGACTTGGACAGCGCCTTGCTCTAATCAAAGCTTCAGCCTGGACTGCAGGGACATAGTTTAACTCCTGTAGACCCCAGTTTCCTCTCGAGCATAGAGAGTTACTTTGAAAGCAGAAAGCATGACACAAAAGTGAAGACTGGGAGGACACAGAACGACCATCAGGAGGATCATTCTAGAGAACGACACTGGGAACAATGATGACGGAGGAGACAGGCGGGCTGGACTTACACGATCATGCAGAACATCATGAAGACATTCCACAGGGCGATGAAGATTCGAAAGTATCTGAGGCTCAGCAGGAACTCCCGGATGTTGTCACCTGGGAAGTCAGAAAGCATTTTCACAAGCAGTGCTCACACTTGTTTTCACCACCGCACTGTACTTCTGAGGTCCCTGCCCGCCCCACACCCACTGCCCCCATATTCCAGCAGCAGCATGGCTTTTCCTTTGGGCCACCTCAGTTCCCCAACCCTGAGCACTCAGGCTATAGCTGCCACTGACCAACCCCGAGAGGACCAAGCCCCCAGCCTCTGAGTGGCTCAGGGAAAAGCACATGACCCAAATCCGTCCAATGAGAGCTGGCCCTGGGACTTTGGCCCCAACTACTGGGAAAGAGGCACTTGCTTTCTCCCAGGGTTGCTGGGCTGTGACGATGGAAGCCCAATTCTCTAAGGCAGGGGTTGGAAAACCATGGCTGGTCCACAGGCCAAAACTGGCCTCTGCTACCTACTTCTGTAGAGCCCAGGAGTGAAGAAATTTTTTTTTTTAAGATTAAAAAAAAAAAGAATCAACAAAGCATTTAGTGTGACACAAGAAATTACATGAAATTCAAATTTTAATGCCTGTAAATAAAACTTTATTAAAATACAGCCATGCCTATTCATTTACATACTGTCCATGGAGGCTTCCAAATCACGGAGGTGAACTGTTGCACCAGAGACTAATGGCCCACAAGCCTAAACTATTTATGGTCTGGCCCTCCACAGAAAAAATGTGGGTCGAGGGTCATCTTTATCAACACAAGCCAGCCTGACAGTAAAACCAACCCAGGAGGAAGAAGAGCTGCGGAGGGTCACATGCTACAGGTCTGCTTTAAGCCCTGAATCCACATGTGTCTGAAGACCATTCTACCATTGGATGTTTCAATTCGCTTCATACATTTTGAGTTTTGAGCTGGTTTCCAGTATTTACAACTGAAGTGATAGTATCAGTTGCTCAGTCATGTCCAACTGTTTGACTCCATGAACTGCAGCCTGCCAGGCTCCTCTGTCCATAGAATTCTCTAGGCAAGAATACTGGAGTGGGTAGCCAGTCCCTTCTCCAGGGGATCTTCCCGACCCAGGGATTGAAGCCTGGTCTCCTGCATTGTAGATGGATTCTTTACTATCTGAGCCACCAGGGAAACCCCTTACAACTGAAAAAGCATAGTAATTCAAGCAAGTAAAATGAGAGTTCTGCTTTGGTGACGACTTAATCTAGTATACACTGATGCCAAGGAATAGAAACCACTCCAAGGAGAGGGAATTTGGTACATGAAGACTCCAGAGAGACTTCCCTGACGGTCCGAGGATTAAGAATCTGCCTTCCAATACAGGAGATGCAGCTTAGATCCCTGGTTGGGGCAAGAAGATCCCACATGCCTCAGGGCAGCTAAGGCCCTGTGCTGCAACTGCTGAGACCACACAGCACAACTAGAGAGAAGCCTGTGCACCACAATGAAAGATCCCACATGCCACAGTGAAGATCTTGTGTGCCACAGCTAAGACCTGACACAACCAAAAAACATAAATATTAGGGGAAAAAAGATTCCAGAGATCTGGCTTCCAGAACCTTCCTCTGGGGTTTTGAGTTGATTGCCCAGCCTCTTAAGGCCTCCGGAATGAGATGAACGGATCCAGATGAGGTGCTCTACAAGGATGGCACCCCGAGTGCCATCCACAGACCAGGGCTGTCTAGGAAGTATGGAATACCAGGTGGGAGCCCAGAAACTTCCAGAGCAACCCAATATGATGGCCACTTGGCGCTGCTGCACCATCCAAGAACAAAAGCAGCACAAGGTCTTGCTCAACATAGTTTAGACAAGTCCAGCACTGTCCAAAGGGATTTCCCTGGTGGCTCAGCATAAAGAACCTACCTGCAATGCAGGAGCCACAGGAGATGTAGGTTTGATCCCTGGGTGGGGAAGATGCACTGGAGGAGGGCATGGCAACTCACTCTAGTATTCTTGTCTGGAAAATCCCATGAACAGAGGAGCCTGGTGGGTTGCAGTCCATGGGGTTGCAAAGAGTCGGACCCCACTGAGCAACTGAACAACAGTATTGTCCAAATCATGGGGTTAGTGACATGTAACACAGCTTCTGTAGTGTTGGCCCAGCACGGACTGCAAATGTCAGAGACAGGTCCATCCCCAGGACGTCTGCAAGGCACTGCTTGGTGAGGCCCTTCTCTGAGCCCAGGATCACAAAACTGGCCTCTCTTCCTCTCAACAAAGGCTGACTAAAGGCCACTAGTTCAGGGGGTACAGGGAGGAATGAGATGGGTATCCCCACCCTAAGGAGCTCACAGGGAGGACAAATACTAAACAAGTAACCACATAACTGATTATTCATTGTGAGTGCTACGGGAGCTGTAATGGGGTACCCAACCTGGCATGCGTCAGGAGGGAAAGGGGTCAGAAGAAGTCTCAGTGAGAAAGTGCATAAGTTTGGACGTTAAATATGGGCTGAAGTTTACTGCCCTTCTGTGCAGGCGACCTGGGCCTATGTGTGCCCCAGTTTCTTCCAGTATAAATGGGGACGATGTGCGACTGGGAAGGCTGCTGCACAGTGCCCATTATATAGCATGCTCTCGATAAATGCAGTCACTATGATATTAGGGGTCAGCCAAGCAGACGATGGAGAGAGAGGAGCATTCTCTGCAGGGGCAACAGCCCACACAGAGTCCTAGCTTGAAGGAGCCTTGCAAGAAGCCCCCAATCAGAGAAAAGTCACTGTTCTGACCATCCTTGTCATCGATGCTTCTGCTACCTCCAAGCTAGAATAGTGCCTTCCACATAATGGGTAAGCAATGTACACAACTGCTGAATGAATGCATGCATGTATGAATGAATGAACAGATGGACAGTCTAGTGATTGAGAGGACAATCTCTGGAGACAGAAAAATCCAGGCTCAAATCCTCATGCTGTCACTGATTTGCTGGGTGGCCACAAAAAAGTTGAGCTATATTTCTGAGCCTCAGTTTCCTCATCTGTAACACAGGAAAATTCTCTTTAACTTTTAGAGACAGAGGTGGAATGAAATACCTGTAGGAAGATCCTAACAAGGCAACCACCACCAGGCAAGCTGCTGAGAAAGGAGAGCTGTCAGACTGTCTGTTCAGAGTCACAGCTCCTCAGGGTTCTTGTTGTCCCCATGCAATGCTCCATCATAGCACCCACGACCTTAGCTGCAATGCCACCTCCTCAGAGGGCCTTCCCTCCACACAAGGAAGTCGGAGCAGCAACCCCATTGCTATCCTCCCCTGACATCTTCTCCTTCACTGTCTGCTCTTTGTTGAGGAACTGTTTGTCCCACTCTGTGCAACTACAACCCAAAGGCAGGAATTACATGTCGTGTTCCCTCCAGGGTTCCCAGCATCCAGCACAGTAGCTACTATATAACAGGAACTCAATAAATGCTAGGTGAATGAGCAGATGAATGGATACAATAGTCAGGTACAGGTCCCATTAGACTCCAAATAGTTATATGAGTCAATTTATCTGTAAGTATCGGAGAAGGCAATGGCACCCCACTCCAGTACTCTTGCCTGGAAAATCCCAACGACGGAGGAGCCTGGTAGGCTACAGTCCATGGAGTCGCGAAGAGTTGGACAGGACTGAGCGACTACACTTTCACTTTTCACTTTCATGCACTGGAGAAGGAAATAGCAGCCCACTCCAGTGTTCTTGCCTGGAGAATTCCAGGGATGGGAGCCTTGGTGGGCTGCCGTCTATGGGGTCACACAGAGTTGGACACGACTGACGTAACTTAGCAGCAGCAGCTGCAAGTATACATTCAAGGGCCACCAGGGGCCAGGCGGGTAAAAGGCTATAAAGATAAGGGGGTGGAGGCTGGGATAAGCTAGAGTCCACAGGCCCCACTTCGATGGGGTCTTGCTTCTCAACTCCCATTCAACAGATGCCAAAAGGTCTCTTGAACTCCAAGTTGTAGAATGTTCTAATTTACATCTGAATTTTTATATGACAACTCCTGGCTCATTTGAAAGCTAATCTAATTGAACATTAAATTAATCTAATTGAAAATTAAACAGGTCTACAGCATTCTGAACCCACTCCAATATTCTTGCCTGGAGAATCCATGAACAGAGAAGCCTGTGGGGGCCCTGTGGTGGAGGGGGGTGCTCTGGTTCATGAGGCTGCAGAGTTGAACACAGCTGAACGACTCAATAATAACAACAGCATTCTGAAGATAATACCTATTTGAGAGGATATTCATTCATTCACACTGGAATATTGGAACTTCAAGCAGGCAAGGAAGCCAAAACAAGTTGGAGCCTCTTTTCTGGAGCTTAAGATCAAGTGTGAGAAGCAGATATTAGCCAGATGATAGCACACACTGAAGAAAAGTATAACTGTAAAAAGTGATATGAGTGCTGACCTATGCAAGGAGGCCTGGTAAGAGAAACAAGTGGATGACAAAGGTGGGTAGAAGGAACAGCACAAACTCGGGCCACCCCCCACGACACACACTTAAAACTGATGAGAAAAAACTGTCCTCTCCGAAATGTACCAATTTCAGAGTCCTGAAAGGAGGCCTTACCTGTGCTGGGCTCCCTCGACTCCTCCCCAAAGCCCTGCGTGTCCTTCTTTTTCCTACAAAGAGAAGCAGACAGCGTCCATTTTCAATAGGACAAACACATCACTTGGTCCCCAGGCCCTGATCCCCAGCTCAGAGGAGAGTTCTAGCCCTACCGCTGGTTTGCTGTGACTTCGTGCAGTTCAGTGATCCTCCCTGGACCATCACTTGCCCCGCCAATCACAGCTAAGACTACAGCCATCGACCGGGTGGAGGCGGTGGTCCGAGGGTGCCAAATGCGGGGCACGTTAGGGCTAAGAGATTCTCGGGGGACGGGCCTGAGGCTCTCATGGATGCGAGCACAGGGATACTGGGGGAACTGAGAGTCTGGATTTCAAGTCGCGGTGGCGCAGATTCACAGAAGGACGGACCCGAATGGAGGCGGAACTAGAGGCCGGGACTTGGGGGCGGGGCCGGGGTCGTAGGGCATGCTCACGCTCGCAGGGGCGGGGCTACAGTTCCCCCGGATGGAGCCACGGTCCAACGCGGCCTACTCACAGCTTAAAGTTGAGCACCGCCCCAGCGTTCATCAACAGCGTCCTGCAGAGGAAGAATACGGTTACCTAGACCGCCCCCCACCGTACAGGGCCCTCACGTCCCGTCCGCTGATCCTCCTAATTACCCAAACAGCAGGATGTCTCCGATCATCGTTACGGCCGGAGAGTCCGTCAGAACAGGAAGCGGAAACCTCCGGGAGGGAGAGGAGAGACACATGAGCCAACCAATCTGGAAGCAGCTCTGGAGAGGGCTGAGCCAATCAAAGGCCAAGGCGGGCAGAGTCCCGCCTTCTACAGGCCAAGCCCCTTAAAGGAAGAGCCAGCGCCGCTCCTTGCTTGAAAAGTGTCAGTGAAAGTGTTAGTCGCTCAGTCGTGTCCAACTCTTTGCGACCCCATGGACTGTAGCCCCTCAGACGCCTCTGTCCATGGACTTCTCCAGGCAAGAATACTGGAGTGGGTTGCCATTCCCTTCTGGGAATCTTTCCGACCCAGGGCTCGAACCCACAGACCCGCATTGCAGGCAGATTCTTCACCATCTGAGCCCCCAGGCCCTGAACGTAACGAAGAAAGGGCGGGGCGAGAACGTGACGTCACCCAACGGGGGAGGAGCCATATGAGGGCCGGATTGGGTCATGGATTGGAAGCCGCTCGCCTCTGTGTGAGTGACCAGCGCTCCAGACCACTAGCGCAGCAGAAGGAAAAGGTGCTGCGCTAGGCTTTCAAAGGATGCGGCCTCTGGAAAAACGGGATCTTTTGATCATTGAACTGCATAGGGGAATGGATCCCGACTCAGTGGACTCTCCCTGACATATACATCCCGACTGTTGGGTTCCAAAAGGGCCTCCTCCTGGGCCCCACGGAAGGCAAGAGCCCCACTAGCCGGGGGCACTGCCGGGGTCGGGGGTTCCTGCTGAGCGGTTCCTTCGGAGGACGTGATTCCTCGCGGGGGACAGAAGTTATGACTTAGAGCTGGGATCATGACAGATCGATAGAGGACGAGGGATCTGACGGAAAAGACCCTATGGGGCACGGGAGTATGGGGTTCATAATTGATTCGGTTCCACGGGGGTTTGGAGGTCTCGATCCAAGGGCTCCATAGAGGACGTGGGTTCTAACCGAGCCCCACAGGAGTGGGGTCCTGAATGATCCGTCCCGCCTGAGTGGACTCCTTGAGGAACGGATATCGCCCCCCTCCAAGGATAGATTCCGTGTCCAACTCAAACTCCACAGCGACCCCACACCCGGCATCATCCACCCACCCCAGTCTCCCGGGCTGGGCTGTATCGGGTCATGATGGCCCGAGGGACAAAGTGCGGGACGCTGGACCGACCGAGATCCATGGGACTGGACCCCGCCTGGAGACCAGCGGTCGCTCCTCCTCTCCCGCGGGGCCCGGGTTGGGGCGGCGCCTGGCGGGCGGGGGCGGGTCCAGCGGCGGGGGCGCAGTTGCCAGCGACGGGACGCACCGGGCCGGGGGCTGGGGTGGGACCCGGTGGGCGCCATGGAGCTGCTCTCGGCGCTGAGCCTGGGCGAGCTTGCGCTCAGCTTCTCGCGGGTGCCCCTCTTCCCTGTTTTCGACCTTAGCTATTTCATCGTCTCCATCCTCTACCTCAAGTATGAGCCAGGTGAGCCAGGGCCAGGGTGCTGGAGAGGGCTGGCATTGCGGGGCGGGAGACGGGAGGAAACCCAGGGGTCTGGAGGAGGGGAAAGGCCTGGATCGTGGGGAAACAGTCCCAGGGGGGTTCGGGGAAGCCAGCAGGTTCTGGTATCGTGGGGGCAGGCAGAGGGGACAGATGTGAGCGAGGGCAAGGAGAGAAGCCCCTGGGATTGTGGGGCTGGGGGAGGGGAAGCAGATGCAGGAGAGGAACGTGATTGTCCGGAGGAGTGGGGAACAGGTGCTGGGGAGGATGCGGGGAGAGAGAAGGTCAGGAATCCTGGCAGGAGAGGGTCGCAGGAACTTGGGCGAGGGGCTAGGTCGTGGTGAGGGCGCTGGCGGGGGTCGGCTCTGCTGGCCAGGTCACAAGTCCTGGCTGCCTGCAGCCATGACCTCTCTCCTTGCCCTTGGCGCCGGGAGCCAAAGCCGCAGCTGAGTGTCTATATAAGGGCCGGCAGTGCTGGGGGCTGTGATCAGGTTCAGAGAAAGTGATACCGATGCCGCTTCCCTGCTGTGGCTCTGGGGCAACCTCTTCTCCCTTTGCCTGGTCCGAGGCTGTGCTGGATCTCGGAGCCCGGCGGGAATTCTTCCAGCTCTGGCCCGGATCCTTTCCACTTATTGAGCAGGACCGGCCCTAGGGCAGGGTAATTTGGGGTCAGCCTCTTCCCACCAGCTCCAGACCCTCTTGGAGAATCGCTGGGGGAAGACCCAGAGTCTTGGATTTTTTTTTTTTTTTTCAGCAACTGGTAAATGGCCTCCTTAGAATGCAGCCTATTTTTATACAAGGCTTAGGGAGTGTTTCTTATTCATCTCCTCCTATTTTAATAACTCTAGCACAACATCAAACTAAAGGGACACTAGAATTTTAGCTTTAGAAAAAAGACCTGAAACTTTGTGATCCTTTCTCCCACTTAGATGTAAATTACTCTTGTATCCTCTCAGAAATAGCTTTTCTTTTTTTTTTTAAGATGATAAAGATAGGTGCTAGTGTACATTAAAGAGAAAAATCAAATTGAAAAGCCTAAAGGAAAAAAGAGATAATTACAGTAGATGTTGTGGCCGCCTTCCAGACCTCCCTTCTCTGCATTTATACCCCTGTAGTTATGGATATAAATGCACAGTCTTATGCAAATAGGATCATCCTCTGCCTGCCGAGTGTTTCTATTCTGTTTTATTTTAGCTCATCCACATGTCAGAGCCTATTTCTTTATAAGCGCTTTTGGAAAGCAGTTACTTTGCAAAGCAAAATAAGCGTTGTATTGTCTTAACCCGAACACAGGGCTGTATTTCCTGTCTGCAGATGAATTCCTGGTGTCTCATACCAGGTCTCTTGGGCAAGTACAGAACCTAGCACACATTGGGAAATCTAGAATTGTGGAGGGCAGGAGCCTAGTAGTGATGTAGGACACAAGTGTCTGGAAGGAAAGTGGTCTCTGGGCTAGGTGGGAGCACGCAGGAGGGGTTGAGACATTCCTTCTGGAGTCACAGAGTAAATCTCCTGGACTTGAAGTGCTGGAGCCTGAAGGTTCTTGAAGGTTGAGAGAGTGCCTTAGAGGCTCCTAGGGGCCCTCCTTCCCCTATCTCATCTCTACTCCAGGCCAACTGAATCCTGGGATAGAGACCTGGCATGCTCTTGTTTCAAGCTGTCCTCCCCTGGGGATGCTGAGGAAATAGAGGCTAAGCTCATTTACATATGCAATCAACCTGTGGTCCCATAGCTGGTAGATGACAGCCTTGGGATTCCAACCCAGGTCTGCTTGACCCCAAGAATCACTACAGTTGTTCTGGAGGACTTGCCTACCCTTAGAAAAGGGAGGAATTGGGCTTAGCTGTTAGCCCCCCAGTTTGGTGTTTCTGCTAAGCCTCTGTAAAGGTTTCCTCTCAGAGTCTGTGTGCTGTTTGCAGGGCCAGCTAGAGAATGCATGGGCCCCTAGGAATTTTGTGAACCTGAAAGCCAATAATCTTAAGGAATAATCTTCAAACTGGAAGTCAGTTCTGCCTTTAAAAACAGTGAGTAAACACCAGGGAGGTTATTTTGCTTACATGAGCGTCAGTTTGCTCATCTGTGAAATGGACTCATTGGTACAATAATCTGGGTTCCCTTACCTGGCTCTCATGAAGATCTGTTGAGAACTTGGTCAGCAGTCAGGTCTAAGGCACTTGTGAGAGGTAGTAGAACAATTTGTAAGGCATGGGGCAATGTGTTCCCTGGGCTGCAGGCATTTTCTGGGTCAGGCTTTCATGAGAATTCTGAATGAGGAAGAAGCACAACGTGTGGTCCTCAGGTGAACAGCATCTGTGACCCCTGGGTTAAGAAATGCAGGCTCCCCACTCAGACCTACTGAAACAGACTCTGCATTTGAACAGGATCCCTGCAAGCGTACTAACATTTGAGAAATGATAGACTAAAAGAACCTGGAGCTCCTCAATAGGGCAGGGAGGGCCAAATCTGACTCACCTCTAAGACCCCTAGCTCTATGCAAGAAGAGAAGAAGCTGTGGTTGCTGGCTGCATGATTGAAGGAGTGAGTGGATGAATGATTGAATGACAGTCAATGGCTACTTTAAGACCTGATCCATGCAAGGAGCCTTCCAGACTAGAGGTTCTCAAGTATGACTACATACTAGAGTCACCTGGAGAGCTTTGAAGATTCTTGTTGTCCAGGGAGTACCACTTCATCATGAAAATCAGAATTGCAGGGGAAAGTTCCCCAGATGAGATCCAGTTTTCTGCACCAGTGTTTCCTAACCTCAACACCAGTGACAGTTAGAGCCAGATCATCCTCTGTGGTGGGGACCATCCTGTGAGTTTCAGGATGTTTCACAGCATCTCTAGCCTGACCCACTAGAGGCCAGGAGCACACCCCAATTGTGACAACCAAAAATGTCCCCAGACGTTGCCAGTGTCAGTTAACTGGCACATTAACAGTGCCAGTTAAGAATCATAAATCTAGACTGAGTCTTAAACTCCTGTGCTTTCAAGGGCCTGGCAGGTCACATATGGAAAGAAGTAAGACAGCCAGGTGAGGACAGTCCCCGGGTGAGATCCAGCCATGTGCATCGCCACCTGATTGGGGCTGGAACTAGCAGAACTAATTTTTCAAGGGAAGCTAGAAATGTGATTTGCAGCTTCCTACGTTTATATGTACAATGTCACGAACCTCCGTCCATAGTTAACCAGGCTCTCTGTCTATCAGATCTAGTCCCTTAAATCTATTTCTCACTTCCACTGTATAGTCATAGGGATTTGATTTAGGTCATACCTGAGTGGTCTAGTGGTTTTCCCTACTTTCTTCAGTTTAAGTCTGAATTGGGCAATAAGGAGTTCATGATCTGAGCCACAGTCAGCTCCTGGTCTTGTTTTTGCTGACTGTATAGAGCTTCTCCATCTTTGGCTGAAAAGAATATAATCAATCTGATTTCGGTGTTGACCATCTGGTGATGTCCATGTGTAGTCTTCTCTTGTGTTGTTGGAAGAGGGTGTTTGCTATGACCAGTGCGTTCTCTTGGCAAAACTCTATTAGCCTTTGCCCTGCTTCATTCCGTACTCCAAGGCCAAATTTGCCTGTTACTCCAGGTGTTTCTTGACTTCTTACTTTTACATTCCAGTCCCCTATAATGAAAAGGACATCTTTTTTGGGTGTTAGTTCTAAAAGGTCTTGTAGGTCTTCATAGAACCACTCAACTTCAGCTTCTTCAGCAATACTGGTTGGGGCATAGGCTTGGATTACCGTGATATTGAATGGTTTGCCTTGGAAATGAACAGAGATCTTTCTGTCGTTTTTGAGATTGCATCCAAGTACTGCATTTTGGACTCTTTTGTTGACTGTGATGGTTACTCCATTTCTTCTAAGGGATTCCTGCCCACAGTAGTAGATATAATGGTCATCTGAGTTAAATTCACCCATTCCAGTCCATTTTAGTTCACTGATTCCTAGAATGTCGACATTCACTTTTGCCATCTCCTGTTTGACCACTTCCAATTTGCCTTGATTCATGAAGCTAACATTACAGGTTCCATATATGCAATATTGCTCTTTACAGCATCAGACCTTGCTTCTATCACCAGTCACATCCATAACTGGGTATTGTTTTTGCCTTGGCTCCATCCCTTCTTTCTTTCTGGAGTTATTTCTCCACTGATCTCCAGTAGTATATTGGGCATCTACCGACCTGGGGAGTTCCTCTTTCAGTATCCTATCATTTTGCCTTCTCATATTGTTCATGGGGTTCTCAAGGCAAGAATACTGAAATGGTTTGCCATTCCCTTCTCCAGGGGACCACATTCTGTCAGACCTCTCCACCATGACCCGCCCGTCTTGGGTGGCCCCACACGGCATGGCTTACTTTCATTGAGTTAGACAAGGCTGTGGTCCTGGATCAGATTGGCTGGTTTTCTGTGATTATGGTTGCAGTGTGTCTGCCCTCTGATGCCCTCTCGCAACACCTACCATCTTACTTGGGTTTCTCTTACCTTGGACGTGGGGTCTCTCTTCACGGCTGCTCCAGCAGAGCGCAGGGCTGCTCCTTACCCTGGCAGAGGGGTATCTTCTCACGGCCATCCCTCCTGACCTTGAACATGGAGAAGTTCCTCTCAGCCCTCCTGTGCCCGGCAGCAGCCGCTCCTTGGAACTGGGGTTGCTCCTCTCGGCCGCCACTCCTGAGCTGTCGCAGCCTGACGCTCTTGGTTGCTACCCCGACCCTGCACGGTCCGTCGCAGCCGTCGCGCTTCTGTGCGGTCCGGTTTCACTTTCACTCTTGATGAAAGTGAGAGAGGAAAGTGAAAAAGTTGGCTTAAAGCTTAACATTCAGAAAACTAAGATCATGGCATCTGGTCCCATCACCTCATGGGAAATAGATGGGGAGACAGTGGAAACAGTGTCAGACTTTATTTTTGGGGGCTCCAAAATCGCAGCAGATGCTGACTGCAGCCATGAAATTAAAAGACGCTTACTCCTTGGGAGGAAAGTTA